ATTCAGAAACTCTCAGTGAGTATTCTTTCTTTCATGGCAATTATAATTGTTTACATAAGTTCAATAAGAATTCATTCTTGTAACAGTACACCCTTGGAAACACTGACTATATCACCAAGACTTTGGAATGTCATAGTTGAGAAAGGTATGGATAAACTGATATGACTAGACAACTTTAAGGAACTAAAGTTGACTTTATGGAGCCAAAAGAGCCCCTTGGAACTGTTGGCCTGGTACCTTACTTATAGAGTTTCCAGCAGCCTTATGGGGTGAGTAAAGTCACTTCTTGGCAGGTACAGACTCCTAAGGATATGTTGGGGACCTCAAGAAGAATTCACCCGAATGTACAGGTAGTTCAGGCAATTCTAATGGCAAGTATCTGGCTTGACTTCTGGCCTGGAGAGGCTATTAAAAGTTCAAACTAAAATCCCTTACAGGGGCATCTGGGTAGCTCAGGCAGTTAAGTGTCCAACTTCGGCTCTGTACTGTCGGAGCTTGGGATTCTCTCTCCCTCTCTGTCTCTACCCCTTGTCCACTTGCTCTCCCTCTCTCTCAAAAATAAATTAAAAATAAAAACTTAAAAAACTTTAAAAAATAAAAATAAATAAGTAAAATAAAAAGTAAAAAGTAAAATTCCTTACAAAAGTTCTAGCAAAGTAGATTTAAGAGAACTTATGTGGTCAATCACTATTCTTGCTGTACTTACACAAATAATTAGACCAAGTTTGTTAAAACTAGACTTGTTTTTACAAACAAATTGGTTTTAGTTTGGTTATGTTTGATGAATATGAGGATGATTTAGAGGGCAAAGTATGTTTCAATAACGTACCTTTTGTGGATGTTAAATTCTAGTTCTGATCAATTATCTTTAAAGTGTTTATTGTTTGCCTAGAAGACTGGTCTGGATCCTGAATTCTTCTGGTTTCCTCAAACATCTGGCTATGCCTCTTCAAACTATGGCTTCCGATCTTCTTGCATTTTCTTGTCTTGGAATCACTAAGAAGTAAAACTGTTCCTTTTCCTGAAGCCTTGCACACTAAAGCTAGACAACTTGAGGTACATCTCAGAGAAATGGTCACGGTAGCTCCTGTGTAGACCCTTTTCATGCCTGTCGCTCTCTGGGCCCCTCAAAAAGATCACCGGAGAATGTGAACTACAAACCAGAAAAAATGCATCAGATTGTTGCTGTCTGTGCCCACTCCATCTGACGGTGCTTCGAGCTTGACATCCAGAAATCTTCTCACCGGAGTAGTCAGGATTCAGAAACTGGGTTTATAATTTGCTCCAACCATCAACTTGTGTTTTTCTTTTATTGTCACAGAAATGCCTCTTATTAATTACCTACTTGCTGGTTGAACAAGGTGGAGTCTATGCCGTTATTAACAAAACCTATTGTGCCTATGTAATTAACACAGGAAAAATTGAAGTAAATACATAAAGGTTTTATGAGCAGGCATCCTGCCTGCGTCGGCACAATTTAGGGACAGATCTTAACTATGTCTGGTCAACAATCAAAAATGCCCTCCCCGGTCTCTCTTTTGTTTCTGGGTGTTTGTTTGTTTGTTGTTTGTTTATATTTACCTCTCCTGAGACTGTTGGTGGCTATCCTCCTGCTACTTATTTTTGGTGTCTGTTTGACCTGTTAGTAAAATCTGTGTCCTCCAGGGTCCAACAATTCCAAGTCAAGCTAATGGTAGCACAAGGATTCCACCCTGTGCCTCTACAGGAAGATTCAAATCCTGTAAGTCAGTAGAACAGTCCATGAGAGATTTTTACCCATCCAGGTTAGGACAGGGACAATGGCCTCATGCAACAGGAAGCAGTTTCAGAAAATGAGACCTTTATCCTTTCTCCTTAAGAATAAGGAGGATGAAATCCCTCAGGGACCTTGGGAACAAGCCCCTGTGTATCTGAAAAACTCCTTGCCGCCTGCTGACTGACATCACGTTTCTCATAGAACTCCCTACTGGCTGTTATCACTTCTCCAGAGCAAAGTACCAGTTGAGGAGCAAACCCAGTCCAGTCTGCAAACCAGTCTGCCCCATCATGGACCCCAGTACTGAACTTACACTGACGTTCCCCCTCATTATAATACTAAAAATCATACCCAGGGACAGAGATTTAACATGTCAATTAAACAAGCGATGCATGAAGAAGCATGATCTTTAAGTGCACAGGTGCTAATAAATCCCCGCCTCTAGATGCTTACATGGCACCCCTTTGCCCACCTAAGTTTCTTCAAAATGTTCTCCCTGACCTCTCCTCAGGGAGTCAGCCTGAGGATTCCTTCCTTTGTGCCGCCTCCCTGGCTCTCGAGCATTAGCCCCATTAAAGCCTTGCCTGTGCTTTTACATTTGGAGTCCAGCCTCATTTCTATCCTTGCTGGGTCCAAGGACTCGAGTCCGGTAACAGGCTTGCTCATATCTCTTTTCTGCGAAGGCAGTTACTGTGATACTGTTCACCCTCCATATTCTAAAATTGATATTTCTATTCTGTATTGCCCATGTAAACCATATAATCCATTTTTTCTAAAACTCTCCGTGGTACTCAGGATCAATGCCCGAGGTTTTATATCACCATCCACTGTCTTTTCTGCACCAAGAACTCATTTATCCCTTTCTTACCCATTGAAATCAGGCCTATCAGTGTTATAGAAAATCTAAATTTGCAAAATAATTTTTTCTCCTTCCCCAGTGACCTTGTAATATGTTGTATTATTGCACCGAATGTACTTTTTTTTTTTTTTTGGCTTGCGCTGTTTTAATACTGTCAAAGTTCCCCCTATATTATGATTCAGATCGTCCTCAGAAGTGAATTTGAAATTCCTTGCAATATTATGTCTGAAACGCCTAAATCTTCATCAGTGCAGAATTTTGCGTGCAATTTCATTCTTAAGCATTTTGTCTGTTACTTTGTTACCTCAATGCCATGTTTGTCTTGATCTTAACGACTTCAAAAACAGTCTAAGGGAGGGACTTTATATCTATCTCTTCTGTTTAGTAAATGATCAATCCGCCTTTCTGTGCATAGTTAGTGAAACAGAGAAAGTTTTAGATAACTTCACACTTTTTCCTAGGAAAATTAGATATAATTTTATTCTACTATAAAGTGCTGTGCTTTCTTGTGTCTTTATATTATTAATATAAAAAATGACAACGGCTGAAAATCTCTGGCTATGATTTATTTATAGCCTAATATTCAATTCACAATTAAATGCTAACCTGTAATTGAATCCAAGGATTCATTCTGCTGATACACTGAATTAAAGAACATAAGTAAAGTGCTGAGTAAATAGGAACAGAACAGAGATTAATAACAACCAATATTTATTATGGTGTGATTCATTATGAATAATTTGAATGCAATAATTGTCATGATAAAAGCAACTCTTCAAAAAGGATGCAAGATATTTAAGAAAGATTTCTATCTTGTTGTGGTAGACAAAGTATTGTATTCTGTAACTGTAGTAGAAAGAAATCTTGAAAGGTAATATGGATATAGTACTCTTAAGATATTAGGAAGCCTATTTCTAGATCATTTAAGTTGTAATACCTGCTAAGATGCTAATATGGTCCTGCCAGTAAGTTTGTTTATAGAAAAGTAACAAAATTTATAAGGAAAATTTATCGTGAATCAACAACTGAGATAATGGCTTAACCAAAGGAACATCCTCCTTTGATTCTATTCATTTGTGCCTTCATCTTTACATCTGAAGACGTATAAAATGCTTTAGAGCATCTTTCTCAAATTATTCTTCCATTCTTTTTCTTCTCAACTTGATCTTTATAAACTTATAATAAAATTAACACAAGAAGGAAGAAAATACTTTGGGACTTAATTGGTAGAAACAGTAAAAAGAACTGATTTAGACTTTCAAGGCCTTTGAGAGTCGTAGTAAAAATATACACAATAGGTTCTGTGTGTAAGGATTTGAAATAATTAAAATAGAATTAAAAGCAAGCATACAAAACAGCAGCTGCCAAAATGTCCAGGCAGATTTGAAAAAATAACAAATGAGAACCCTAAAAGGGAACAGCATGATTATTAAGATTAAAAGCTCAGTGGAGGGATTAAATAAGAAATTAGATACTGAAAATAAACCTGAGCATGTATTGCTGAAAGAATAAGCAGAGTGAGGCACAGGGAGACAGAGAAATAGAAACTAGGAAGGAGAGGCTAAGAGATGTGGAGGGTAAGGGAATGGAAACACAGTATTTCTTCAGAGTTCCAGAAAAGAGCCATGGAGCGGTAATGGGGAGTGGTAATACCTGAAGACCGAATGCTAAGGAATTTCCAGAAGTGACAAAAATGTAATTCTGCTGATACAGTAATCACAATGTATATAGCAAATAAGGTACATGAAATGAACGTGTGCCTCTGGCACTCCAGTGAAAGCTGGCAGAAGGAAGATGAAGGGTTCTTCATCACTTCAGTGAGGGGAGGAAGTGAGTGATCTTTAATGGAATGAGAACAGATTTAAAGGAGATTCTTGGAGGAAATAAAGTAACATGGGAGAAAAATATTGCCATGTATCTACCTCCTTATCTAGGGAATGACAATCTGGCTAAGTAGTAAAATAACTTGTTTCATTTTTCTTTTAGAAGACACATAGGAACCATTTCTACAGAAATAAACATCCCAAGTAATTCCTGGAAGAACTTTCTGGAAGACCAAAAGAGGGGAAAAAAAAAAAAAAAAAAAAAAAAGAAAAGCCTGCCTTTATTCTTGATATGATCTTGAAGTTATGTTTATCTGTCAATTCTGAAACTACAGGAAGTTAGATGCCCCACTTCTAATTGACTCATGAATGGAAGTCGTTCCCTAGAAAATAAGTGGGGCTTTGTTTTAATAACAGAAGGTTTACCAAACTTCATATTCAAGAAGTACTATATTTTCATAATTTAAGCTGTTTTACGAAGCAGTTCATCATATGTCACCTGGAGGAATATGCATCTAATTTGAGGAGCAGTCACGGGCCTCTTTGCCCCCTGGGAACTCACCTCCCCCTCTGTAGATTGCAGATGGAGCTCTTTCCTGCAGGTGGCCTTGAAGTCTCCCGCAGCGGCGCTGACCTGGACCCCTCGAGGAGCCTCCATGATCAAGGACCTGGTGGGTGATTCAAGCCTAAGGGTAAAACAAAAGACTCCTTCATAGTAAAAAAAAAAAAAAAAACAATTATGATGGACTAAAAGATAACATTAGTGACTAAAACAAACAAACAGGTAGGCATAAATAAAAATCTTTGCCATTTCAAAAAAAACAAAAGGCAAAACGAGTTTTAGGATCCTTTTTTATTGCCTTATCTATTTTTTGGTTCTTTATGAAACTTCATTTGTTCACATCAATTATTTACTCTCATTTGCTTAATGATTTAATAACAGTTTCTTATGTTGTTTCCTTTCACAACGCACATGAAAAGTAGGTCGTGATAAGTTTACTTGCTTAAATCTTTTATATATTTTCAAAATTAATGATGGAGTTTTAATAAATTTCTACCAACTTAGCATGTAGCTATCAAGAGTCTCACAAAGACGAGAGAGCTTTAATGAAAATTGTTAATATTGTGAACTTTCAAGAATTCCACAGTCAAAATTCTGTAAGCCTGAAAAGTTTCAAAGTACTCATTACACGTTTAGAAATTAATTAAAATGAAGAAATGAGACATTTCCTACATCCACTGACCTCTACTGGCCCAGGAAAATGTTCACAGAATGAATGACATTATCCTGACAGAGAACAAGTAAATGAGCGGTGATCCACCTCTCATTTAATTAAATATGAATAAAGATTGCATACATTTTGAGGGAAGAAAACCCCAATGTTTATTTATATATTTATTTGAGAGAGAGAGAGGGAGAGAGAGAGTGTGCAAGCCGGGGAAAGGAGCAGAAGGAGAGAGAAAATCTCAAGCAGGCTCAATGCTTAGTACGGAGCCTGACACAGGGCTCAATCCCACAACCCTGGGATCATGATCTGAGCTGAAATCAACAGTTCACCCTCAACCGAGACACCCAGGTGGCCCCAAAACCAACTGTTTTAGCTTGTTGTGCCTGAAAAGAAAGATAGTGGGGAGGCAGTTTCAAATTATCTCCAAATATAAAACTAGAGGCAAGAGCAAAAGAAGGCAGAACATGGAAGCTAGAATACAGTGGTAAAAAGCGCTAGTGTAATAAGATAAAGGGCCCCTGATACGGATAAACATTCTGTTTATGGGGGAGCAACTCTGTGTGTTCCCCTTGACCACACAACTTTAGGACAAGAGTCCCCTCAGGTTCACATTCACCATCATCCAAAGCAACTGGTTTCCTCTGAGGCAACAGATCCAAAGCTGTTTTGCAGGGAGAACCACATCAAATAGATCTCTGAAGATAAGCTCTCTTTCAGTAGTGAAGTTGAACTTAGACTCGAAAGTGATATTGAAGGAATAGAGCCAGCATTTAGAAGAAGTGAAAGAAGTGATTTTGACATTTTCAATGTTTTTCACTCACCTAAGCAACTCTGAAACTTTCTATGGGCCTCTTGGGCATATTTATAAAACCCCTGGAGGGGTTAGATTATATATATATATATATATATATATATATATATATATATATATCCCTATATGTTACATATATATGTATGTGTATACATGAATATATATATATCCCTATATGTTACACATATATATATATAAAACCCTATCTACTTATCTTCTACTTGAAACATTGTTATATTGTTATATATATCAATCGATGTATTTTTTTGAAAAACAAAAGTCACATATTTTTACAGAGCATTTGAAAACCTGAAAATAAAATAATCATCCATAATTTTTTTCACTCATAATACCCATACTTTGCACATTCAATCTACATTTCTGTTAAAATGTGTATTTTATCATTGATTTCCCCTAATAAACCCCCAAATATAGACCATCTTGAGTAGTATATCTGTGACCACTACTATTTTCATCGGTTAATTATCCGCAACATTAAATGTAATTATATATGTTTGGATTGATGAACCATTCAAATAGAAGTCAGATAGGCACTTAATTAAAATGAGTTAATATGCATAATATTCATATTAATATTCTAAAATTATGACTCTGACTTTCAAGAAAACACAACTCAGTGAACTTATAAGTGGAAGGAAAAGCACACTTACTTTATCAAATAATTGATGTGGTTTAGTTTGTTTCCAAGGATAAGGGGTTGAGGTTCTTGTTCATATATTTGATAGTATGATATCTATGACATCCATATTAAATGTATACATGTTTTTGTGTCATATTTCCATCATGTTTACATTTGGGACTAGAACATTAAAATGTATTATGTCTTTCTGGGCTTTTGAGCCTTTCCATTCTCATCTTTATTACTTATTTAATAAAATTTTTTGTTATATTCATTTTCATTTTAGACCTCAGGTATCCATCGCCAGCGTAGCCATTAAGCAGAGTGCTTTGCTAACACTTAGAGCATCTCTATTCAAAGAGGTGGTAAAGACTGAGAGATGGGTTTGGGAAAACTAACCAGCAGTAACCAGACCCAGTTTCAACATCTCTAAATTGAAAGTTATAAAGTTCTCACAGGACAATAAGAAATGTCTTAGGAGGAGAATTAATGGAGAGAAAGATGGGGTAGGGTAGTATTTTGAGATATTGATGGCATTTCCTTCCCTGTCACGTCTCCTTGGAGTTCTGCCACTCACTAAACAGTATCTTTTGCCACAAACAGTGGAAGATGGATCAGAGAAGCTGATAAAGACCTTTTGAGTTTCCTAATCTTACGGACAATTTGAGTTGGAGAAAAACCTAGCCATTTAGTATGTTGAAAATGATTCAGCACATGAACAAACACATCAAAAGAAAACCAGTCAGTGAGAGCTTGCTGTGTTTTTCTACCTGTTGAAGAACTGTTTTCTTGATTCATGGGGTAAAGAAGATTTGGATGGGAAATCAACAGAATTGATTTCAAATTGTTCTCTGTGTTCCTCTACTTGAGGCCAAGTTCTACATTGTAAGGCCTTTATTCTTCAGATGCTAGAGCTCTGAGGAAAGTAGGGATATCTCAGGACTAAGACGACTGAGGACAAGAGACCAAAGATTCTCAAAGGACAGAGGGGCAGTGACCTGTGGTGGAGGAATACTAAGTGAAGAGAAGAATGAGAAACTCTTGGCAAATGCTACTTTGGGTCATGAAGCTACCAATGACCAAACATTGCCCCCAAATCTTTGACACGGTGTAAGCTCCTTGGTATCCTTATACAACCCCAAGGAAAAAGAAGAGAACTGAAACGACTGGGGCTGAGTTTCTAGTAACAGTGCAATGGAGACAAAACATGTAAATAAAGTTTTACAAGAATATTTTCATTTCTTGATATAAACTCAATAAATACATAAAAAACATTCAAAAGGTGGTAGCAATTTTACAGTACTGCTAAATCCTTCAAGTTATGAAGTGAAGAAGACTTTGAATTAAACAGGCTTCAACTGTATGTTTTGTTAATCTTGATAAAACTAAGTGTGGTAATCATTAAGATATAATACAAATTTTATTTCCACAACCATATGGTCAATTAATCTTTGACAAGGCAGGAAAGACTATACAATGGGAAAAAGACTGTCTCTTCAACAAATGGTGTTGGGAAAACTGAACAGCAACATGCCAAAAAATGAAACTGGACCACTTTCTTACACCATACACAAAAATAAATTCAAAATGGATTAAAGATCTAAATGTGAGACCTAAAACTATAAATATACTAGAAAAGAATGTAGGCAATAACCTTTTTGGCATTGGCTATAGCAACTTTTTTTCTAGCTATGTTCCCTGAGGCCAGAAAAATAAAAGCAAAAATAAATTATTGGGACTTCATCAAAATAAAAAGTTTCTGCACAGAGAAGGAAACAATCAACAAAACTAAAAGGCAACTTACAAAATGGGAGAAGATATTTGCAAATGACATATTTGATAAAGGATTAGTATCCAAAATATATTTAAAAAACAAAATTCAACACCTGAAAAACAAATAATCCAATTAAAAATAAGCAGAAGACATGAACACACATTTCTCCAAAAAAGACATCCAGATGGCCAACAGACACATGAATAGATATTCATCATCACTTATCATCAGGGAAATGCAAATCAATGGGCTATTACCTCACACCTGTCAAGTGGCTAAAATCAACATCACAAGAAAACAACAGGTGTTGCAAGGATGTGGAGAAAAAGGAACAGTCTTGCACTGTTGGTGGGAACGCGAACTGGTGCAGCCACTGTGGAAAACAGTATGGAGTTTCCTCAAAATTTAAAAATAGAACTACCCTATCCAGTAATCACACTCCTGGGTATTTACCCAAAGAATAGGAAAATACTAACTCAAAGGGATACATGCACCCCTATGCTTATATCAGCCTTATTTACAACAGGCAAATGATGGAAACTTCCCATTGTATACATATGTATGTGCATATAATGGAATATTATTTAGCCATAAACAAGAATGAAATGTCTTGCCATTGCAATGACATGGATGGAGCCAGAGTGTATTATGCTGAGTGAAATAAGTCAGAGAAAGACAAATACCACATGATTTCACTCATATATGGAATTTAAGAAACAAAACAAATGAGTAAAGGGAGAAGAGAGAGAGAGAGAAATCAGTAAACAGACTCTTAATTATAGAAAACAAACTTATAGTTACCAGAAGGCAGGGGAGCTGGAGATAGGTTAAATAGGTGATGGGATTAAGGACTGCACTTGTCATGATGAGCCCAGGGTGGTGTATCGAACTGTTGAATCACTATCGTACATCTGAAACTAATATAACACTAATATAATTCCAGTTAGTGTGTTAAGTAACTGGAATTAAAAGAAAATTTAAAAGGCCAAAAAAAGAAATAATATAAATTTTATTATTAATACTGTCTGGTTTAAATAATAGCCAATGCAGATGAGTAATATACACTAGGACTTAAATTACTCATAGAGAGTGCTCAAAGAGTATGTAACGAAACTATTAGACCATTTGGAGGATTTAATAATTCTCTTTTCACAAGTGGCAGTACAGTAGTTCTTATGAATATGAAAATTAAAGTAAGCTTGCAAACTATTTTTTACAAGCTGGCCTATCTA